AGTTGGGATGAAGTCTGTGTGAGTTTGTGTTCTGTTTTGTGTTATTTTGGATTAATCAGGGGAGGGGCAATGAACTGGGCTCGAGGGTCACTGTGTCCTCGGGGACGCAGTAAAATGGACCCCAAGAGGGAATTTATTTTAACTACCTTTTGAACTGAGTGAGTTTGTAAAGGGCCCTGAACAGGGAGCGAGCAGAGCAGGGGCGCTCTAGTGGCAGCTGCCTGATATTACATAGAAGTACCTAGATCAGGGGTGGGCAAACTATGGCCCCTCGGGCCGCGTCCAGTCCGTCAGACCTTTTATTCCAGTTCTCGAGCTCCCGCCAGGGAGCGGGGTCGGGGGCTTGTCCTGCTCCGGCGCTCCAGACGGGGAGCAGGGTTGGGAGCTTGCGCCGCTCCAGCTGGGGAGTGGGGTCGGGGGCTTGCCCCGCTCCGGTGCTCCAGCCGGGGAGCAGGGTCGGGAGCTTGCTCTCCTCTGGCGCTCGAGCCGGGGAGCGGGGTCGGGGGCTTGCCCTGCTGTGACACTCAAGCCAGGAAGCGGGGTCAGGGGCTTGCCCCGCTCCGGGCATGCCGTGGCGCCGCGCATAGGGGAAACCTGGGAGCTCCGCACGTTGCCCCCGCCCCAAGCGCTGGCTTCGCAGCTCCCATTGGCTGGGAACTGCGGCCAATGGGAGCTGCAGGGACAGTGCCTGCGGACAGGGCAGAGCCTCCTGGCCGTGCCTCTGCGTAGGAGCCAGAGGAGAGACATGCCCACTATGCCACTGCTTCTGGGAGCTGCAGGGGCGGTGCCTGTGGACAGGACAGTGAGCAGAGCCGCCTGGCCATGCCTCAACATAGGAGCTGGAGGGGGGACATGCCGTGGCTTCCGGGAACTGCTTGAGGTAAACGCCGCCCGGAGCCTGCACCCCGGAGCCTCTCCCCACGTCCCAACCCCGTGCCCCAGCCCTCATTCCCCTCCCACACCCCAACCCCCAATTTCATGAGCAATCATGGCCTGCCATACAATTTCCGTACCCAGATGTGGCCTCAGGCCAAAAAGTTTGCCCACCCCTGACCTAGATAGACGGTTAATACACTGACTTCAGTAGTGTTCGGCTGGATTGGGGTCTGTGTGCATGAGATCTGAATTTTGTACGATACATCTGAATAGTTCAGAGAAGCATCTGCTTATCCTAACAGAATTGCCAGTCCACTCAGACAGGTCCATTGTTTCAAGGTAGTCTTCATGATTTCGTGCCATTTTCTTGCTCACGTTTGCTTGCTCATTATGATGATGTGTATTTATCTTGGGGTAGCGCTCAGGGGACTTGAATCAGGGCCTCACCGTGCTGCATGCTGTACATCCACATAACATAAAGACGGTCCCGGAGTTCAGTCTTCTCCTATGATGAACAGCAAGAGGTGGTTACAACAAACCAATGGCTGGGGGGAGGGATAGCTCAGTGGTTTGAGCATTGGCCTACTGAACCCAGGGTTGTGAGTTCAATCTTTGAGGGGGCCACTTAGGGATCTGGAGCAAAACAAGTACTTGGTTCTGTTAGTGAAGGCAGGGGGCTAGACTCAATGATCTTTCAAGGTCCCTTCCAGTTCTATGAGATAGGTACATCTCCATATATTATTAGTTCCAACACAGAAATAATAATTAGCCCTTGGAAGAGTAAAATTCACCCCTTCCTTTTGGCCACAGATCTCATGCACATAGTGACTGGAGGGTTGGTCCCCCTCTTCGCCCAATTCTTACTGCAGGGATGCATCTGCATGCTGGGATGTGTACACTGAATTATTATTGTAGGGCTGATTGAGCTGGCTGGCTTTACTCATTGGCTTATTATTACAGTGTTCCTTATTAGTACTAAGCTCTGCATGCGGCTTTATTGTTGTGGAGGTGACTGGGAGTCACTGAGGCTACTAGTGTTGGGGATTTTGTTTCAATCTTTCGTTATTATTGTTGTTAAGAGAAGAGAGAATTGAAGCCTTCCAGCCTTGACACTTTCCCTTTCCACTAGTAGCCAGCGTCCGGCTCTGTTCTGTAATCAACCCTAAATGGGTAAATGACTTTGAAAGGAACCAGACCCTGGCGGTCTCGCATTTCAGATGAACAGCGATGGAAAGCACCATGAAAAATCTTTTCTTCCGCTCCCCTGAAATAAACCGGAGCTGCTTAGGAAAAAAGAAGTGCCCTGACGAAGTCCAAGAAACAGACTAAACTCCCGTGCCCGTTGAAATGCGTTCTACACTGCCCAGAACGATACAGCCATTCATTAACATAAATGGCAGGGTAAATATTAAGGCTAGCTTTAGACAGCTGATTGATTTGCCTGTAGAACCGCTGGATTCTAATCATCAGGCAGAGCTCTTATTCGAGTGGGTCACTTCATCGAGAAAAGCAAGTTAATCTCAAGCAAACAGAAGTGCTGGAGAAGAGGATACTTGGATAATCAGGATCTGGATTTCCACCAAGTGTCCCCTAGTTTTGCCTGCCTCCATTTTTGGTTGGCCAACTTGAGGCCCCTTGGGGCTGATTTGCAGAGGTGCCGAGCACCATCGCTCCTATTCACGTCACTGAATCATTGATGTTAAGGCTAAAAGGGCCCATCAGATCACCTAGTCTGATCTCCTGCATCACAAACATCTCTCCCAGAAAGGCACCCAGTCTTGATCTGAAGATTGCAAGAGATGGAGACTCCACCACTGCCCTTTAGCGTTTGTTCCAGTCGCTAAGGGTCCAGAGGTTTTCAGTTAAAAGACTGATTGCTTGGCACACTCTGAAAATCAGACCCAAGTAGTCTCAGGCTGGTAACCCAAAAACAGAGGCATCCCAAAATTACTGGCCACTTTTAAAAGCATTGGCCCAAAGACCTCCCGAATCCTGATTCCCCAGAAACTGAATCTGCGTCAGGGTGACTATATCCAGAAGAATTTTATGCAAAAGACAAGCACAATTGGGCCTGATTGCCAGTCACTGGTTAAGAGAGACTCAGGGCTGCAGCAGGAATGGGTATTGCTGCAGGATGGGAACAAGGTGAGTTGGCAGAACAGTGAGGACTGGAATAGCAGGGAATGCTGTTGGTCAGGGCTCAGGGTTGCATTGCAATACAAGACTAAATTGCAGGCCAGGACTGAAGTGCATTGACAGAGTTATGGGGGCTCAAGACTGGAATAGCAAGGAATATTGCATGGCCGCGGGGGGGAGGAGGGAGGAAGGGGTGGACCAGGAATACTTATACAGACAAGACAACTAGCACTTAACCATATTCATAATGACCCTCCACATTTTTTACTGACACAATACGAAATACAAAAAAGGCCAGTAGGTCGGTATTATACATTTTTAAAAGTCCTCCCATGTCTGGAATACTACGATTTCAAAGCAATTTTGGATGCACATGACTTCTGTTTATGGTCCTATATGACAGATTTTCTTCTATAGAATCCAGTACTTCAAACATAAAAAAAATCACATAAATCCAGATTAATCTGGCGTAGTCCTAGTCCGGAAACATACTGCAGACAAAAGAAATACTGTCTCTACACTGTCTTGCAATTTTTACTGATGTACATTTTAAACGATCACTCCATAAATGTACTGGCTGCTGGCAACTCATATTGGACTGAACTAGCAGAGAGTCGAGAAGAGCAGAATAGAGGTGTATTTTCAGACCTGCATGAAACCCCAGGATTTAAATAATAAGGATGTTGCATTAGTTGGGGATTGGTCCTGCTCTGAGCAGGGGGTTGGACTAGATGACCTCCTGAGGTCCCTTCCCACCCTGATATTCTATGATTCTATGTCAGGACTGAGGTGCTTTGCCAGATACTGAGATGGTCATCACCAGTGTGTCAAGTATCAGAGGGGTAACCGTGTTAGTCTGGATCTGTAAAAAGCAACAAAGAGTCCTGTGGCACCTTATAGACTAACAAATGTATTGGAGCATAAGCTTTCGTGGGTGAATACCCACTTCACCCACGAAAGCTTATGCTCCAATACATTTGTTAGTCTATAAGGTGCCACAGGACTCTCTGTTGCTTATCACCACAGTGATAACACTTCCTTGGCAATGTTTAATCATGTGATATCTTGGTGGGATCATGTTGTATCCTCATTATTATATGTCAACTCTATCGTCCCAGCTCCAAAGGGTATGTCAACACTGCAGCCAGGGGTGTGACTGCAGCACGGGCTAGCCACTCGCGTACATACCCAGGGTCCCAGGCAGGCTGCTGCAGTTTCATTGCTATTGTTATTCGAGCGAGCTAGACCAAAGCTAGGTTGAGTGTCTTCCCATGTTGCAGTCACACCTCGGATTGCAGTGAAGACATACTCAAGAAGCATACAGTCTACACAGACAGACAAGGGGTAGGCGAAAGGAAGCATAAGATCCATTTTACAGATGGGGAACATAGAGAGAGACTAAGTGACTTTTCCAAGATTGCGAAGGGTGCATGTGATAGAGCTGGGAGCTGAAACCCATTCTCCTGAGCATCACTCCAGTGCCTTCACGACAAAACAAATCTTCATGGTGGAATTTCAAAGAGAGCTGGGCCATTAGCATTCAGAGCAATGCAAGCCAAGGTTCCTAATGGCCATGAAATATCAGGCTCCTTAGTCTGTGCTGATTGCTCGTAAGGGACAGAATAGAGTTCCATGACATTCATTGCACCCACAGACACACATGCTTGGAAGCATCTAGTGTTCTCCATGGGATTGCTGGACCTCATGGACCAAAAGCTAGATCCAAACTGGTAAATGCTATGTCCCTATGAAATGTGGTATGGCTAAAAGGACAAGTGCCTGGATCTCACCAAGATGGAAGATGGATGGGGGGCAGCAGTGTAGCGTGCCCTGCACCTGAATATTCCCAGCATAGACTCACCTGTCTGTGAATGGGGCTGTATCCCATTGCAGACACGGGGCTACTGAAGGAAGACGAAAGCCATCAGGTCTGTCTCAGACAGTGCCAGCCAGGCCAGTAAGTGTGGTTTCTTCTGCTTGTTCCCCAGATGCCTTTTCACTGTCCGTGAGAGACAGCACCTCTAGTCAAGGCGACATCATCAAACACTACAGGATCCGCTCCTTAGACGGCGGGGGATACTACATCTCCCCCAGGATCACCTTTTCCTCACTGCACCACCTAGTCCAGCATTACAGCAGTAAGCCGCCCATGTCCCCGTACAGGGCCGTCTGTCATAGCATTTGAGATTGCTGGCATGAGGAGGCCACATGGTCTGGTGCCTCGTGGCCAGACGGGGGTTATCCATGAGTCGCTCGCCCATTGAGCAGCGACTGCATGTGGAGCAATACCTGTAATAGGTGGCAGTATAGGGAATGGGGAAGTGGACGCAGGGTGGGCATGAAATGCCTGCTCTAGCTAGCACTGGGTGGGGGTGCAGCGGAAATACAGATATTCGAAGCGAGTCGGGCAGCCCCTGCTGGTAACTCCCCCCACAGCCGTAAGCAAAGTGACCATCCCAAATTGGACGTGCGCACGAGCAAAACCGCCCCTTCCAGGGGCACAGCGAGCTCCACGAGGCACGGCAGGGACCATGGAGGCTCCGTGGGGGAAGGGGTGTGTGGAGAGACTGGATTCTGGAGAGAGGCGTTCGGGGGGAGAGTGCAACCACTGTGATGCACTGGGGCACGAGCCGGCTGGGGAAAGGGCGGCACTAGGGGATCTGCCATTGCATGGGTCCTCCAGACCCCGCTCCTGGGGCGCTCAGAGCTCTGGGGCTGAAGCAGCCTGTGTGGAGTGGCCATTCCACATGCTGAGGAGGAGGAGAATTACCCTCTGCACGTCTCCAGCCCGGCAACTCAGGCTGGAGGCTGGGCGGAGGGTTTGGCCCTTTACCGACGAGCTGACAGGTTTTCTCTGAATACGCAGACAAAGGGGATGGTCTGTGCCAGAGGCTGACCACTCCGTGCACATCCCTGGTTCCCCAGAGGCCCTGGGCGCAGGACGAATGGGAAATCCCACGGGAGTCTCTGAAGCTTGTGAAGAAACTTGGTGCGGGACAGTTTGGAGAAGTATGGATGGGTAAGTACAGCGCTCTCCAGGCCCAGCAGGGTCAGCCCCGGTCGCTACACATGGCCCACAGGAAAAGGGAAAACCTTGTTTTCTCAGAATTGTCATGAGTGCGGGACCTTGCTAAGACCCAGCCCGCTGCTCGTGGTGGGGGAGGGGTGGGAATTACGCAGCCCATTCAACTGTGCTTCTTTAGGGCTGTATTGGGGCTTTAAAGCACAGCTTTTGCCACAGGTGTAAGACAACTGCACCTGTGTCTTCCCTTAGTGTTTCAGCAAGGGCACCCACTCCCAAGCTTCTGGCCCCCTAGCCGTTGCCTTTCCCGGGGGGGGAGACATCTCTGTCCCTCCTGACTGGGAAATGTCCACCCTGAAGAGTTCCCTGCCTTCCCCGTGTTATTCCCAGCAAAAGACAGGCTGCCGAAACAGGCCTGCATGCTTTCTTTTCAGAGACTAATAACAGAGTGATTGTCAACAGTTGTAAGTTGCCACCCACCACTTCCTATCCAAGCCTATTTTATTCTTAAGGTAAAACCATTACAGAGAAAACACATTAAAACAATAAAAGCACCTACATGTATGCTAATAAGCTTACCAGAGATCCCTCTCCCCTGTCCCAGTGGTCTCCAACATGGGTTCTGGCAGGAGAATCCTTCAAACCACCCAGAAAACGGGTTCCTAATAGCCTCAGCCTAGAACTAGCCCCCTCCTGAAAAGTGTATTCTGCCCTTGATACAGTTCAGGGGTCTTTGATTGGGAATTTCCAGGAACAGGTCATTTTTCTCCCCAAGGTGTAGCTTCAAAAGGCCTCCCACGTACCTCCTAGGAATCCCACTTAACACGTACTGTCCCAAACAGTTCTTTGAAGTTCCTAACATTTACATTACAGTCCTACAATAACACACAAACAATTGCATGTTTAATACAATGGACTCCAAAGGTAGGAAACCTAATTCAATAAGGTTAAACCTAATTCAGGAAAGTTTATTCCGGATATTGCAGGAAATTGCCATCTGTTACAGCCCGGCTTGGGGGGCGGGGGGTGAGTAGCAGGAGGCTGTGTGCCTTGAGGGACACTATACCTACCTAAGACACAGGGACCATGCATCCCCCTTCAAAGGATGCAACTTGTGCTCCTATACATGGCTGGTCAGGGTGGGAAGGAACTGGAGCTTAATTCCTCCTCCTCTTCCGCCTCTTTGTGGTTGATTGCTCCCCGGGAAAGTGCAGGAATTGCAGTTGTGGCCAGCACAATGCAGAAGACTTGACTGCGTGTGCAAAGTCCCAGCTCCTTTCATTACGGATTCAGATACCACGGTGAGGGGCATAGCTAGATAGCTGAGAAATGGGATGACACGGCAAAGGACATGAAGGCCGTATATGAGGAGAACATTTCCTAGCAGTGGGGGTCTGGTAAGCTGGGGAGCCGTCTCAAGGGAAGTGGTGGAAGCCACATTGTTCAAGTGACTTAAAACCAGACCGCAGAAAGGTCCTGAGAATATGCCATAGGGCAGAGGTTCTCAACCTTTTTCTATCTGAGGCCCATCCCAACATGCTATAAAAACTCCACGGCCCACCTGTGCCACAACAACTGGTTTTCTGCATATAAAAGCCAGGGCTGGTGTTAGGGGGTAGCAAGCAGGGCAATCGCCCGGGGCTCCACGCCACAGGGGCCCCCATGAAGCTACATTGCTCAGGCTTCGGTTTCTTCCCCAGGGGGCGGGGCTCGGGGCCCTAGGCTTCAGCCTCATGCAGTGGGCTTCAGCTTTCTACCCTGGGCCCTAGCGAGTCTAATGCCGGCCTGGCTTGGCAGCCCCCCTGAAACCTGACACCTGGTTGAGAACCGCTGCCATGGGGATGATCCCGCATTGCCGGGGAAAGGGGAGTAGACTGGAGGCTCTGGTCTGTCTCCTTCTCATGGAACATTCATGATTCCTCTCACCAGGAACTCAATAACCTCACACCACGCAGCGCTTTACTGTTCAGCTCCTCCAGAGCAGAACCCTCAAGGGCTCCTTCCCTCCCCATCCCCAGCATGGAACAGGGAGCCATAGAAACGTGGCCTGGATCCCCTGCCTCTTCCATTCTGAGGACACCACCCTCTGGAATAGCCTCCAAACCTCTTCCAAGGTTACCTACTCCCCGGAGGCATGAATTCCCCAAGCTCTCTTACAGACTGGCTGAAAACAGTGCTTATATGGGCCATCC